GGCTTTCAAATAAGTCATGGTTGTACGGCAGTGAAGCATCGGTGTTGAACGCTGATGTCATGCTGTCGATGATGATGATGATGATGATGATGATGACATCCTCAAGAGATTGCGCGTGGACATGCATGACCGTAATCTGTGTGTAGCGTCAATCAACCGTAGAGAGTAATGTCGATATGCAGTGATTTTTGTGTGGTAGTGTTACATGCATTGCTGATGCCTGATAATAAATTGGTCTTTAGGACGGAAATTCGTTTGAGGAGCCCTATGATGAACTGAAATTTCTTCGGCGGCCCCTACTACTTATACGTCTAAGAGTATCAGAACCAAAGATTGTATTCTCACCGAGCTTTCGTGAGACCCGGGACTGTCTGCTTCGCTGTTTTCAAGCTATCACCGATGCTGCTGAAGAACTCCCGCGGGTAAGATATTTTATTCGCAATTCTATACATGGATAAAATATCCTCTTTCAATGAGCAGGATGATGTGTACAATGATTACCTTTCAAATAACTAAGAAGTGACCGCAATTTTTTGCAAATCAATTTGGTGTGTTGGTGGAACAGTCCACCAAATCTCAGCCGTATCTCGAACAGTCTTTTACAACCCTGTGAGTAGTATATTATGCTAAGGAAACTATAAATTTTGATTACCTTAACATCGTTTTATACAGGGATTTACCCATCTGTAACCATTTGTGTTCTACTCGAAACACTGACCGCTTCCTCTCAGTACCCGTAGTGGGCCGGTCGGAAAAGCAACCGGACCAAAGTCAAAACTGACCCGTTTTCTTCACTCGACCGGGGAAATATTCGGATCAGTTGGCTCAAAAATTAGGGGGCAAATCCACCCTTACTCCCAAAACTCCTAGTTTGTATTTTGTCTTCTGACTGGTCTTTCGTTATGTCCGTTTTACCGTACGAATGATTATAATAGTACTAATCTATTGTTTGAACCTCTGGTCTCTTCCACAGGTCGAAGTCGAGATCTTCCCTGCATTGGCCAATGACCACCACTTTCTGCGATCCGTTTCGTTTCGTGAACAGCTCGTTATAGAATACACAGACAAAGCTATGACCGTGTTTCGTGCCAACTCAATTGGGCCAAAAGACTACTTGGACATTTATAAGCCGTATGGGAACTTGTTGAATAACAAGGCAGAACTGGAGTTGCGCAATTTTCTCAAAGAGCGTCACACGTTGTTGGCGGTGAAGAAGGTAAGTAATTGCGTGAGTACGTAAGTAAGTAAGTAAGTAAGTAAGTAAGTAAGTAAGTAAGTAAGTAAGTAAGTAAGTAAGTAAGTAAGTAAGTAAGTAAGTAAGTAAGTAAGTAAGTAAGTAAGTAAGTAAGTAAGTAAGTAAGTAAGTAAGTAAGTAAGTAAGTAAGTAAGTAAGTAAGTAAGTAAGTAAGTAAGTAAGTAAGTAAGTAAGTAATGTAAGTAACTGAGGTAAGGAGGATACGTCTTAAGTACTTCCACCTTTCAACGGACACACTTAGACCTTTGGTGGGCTTTCAGACCCTGGGGCTGCCGGGCGATAAGTACACACCTGTACTTAGCACTGGTTTGCTCCTGGTAAAATGAGTTGTACGCATTTCACATATATATCATCTTCGTAATGATCTTTTGCTGCACTTCACCATCGAAAACTCAAAATGGCACCAGTAAAAGCTTGCAATAAAGTGGCCTCAGACTGCCACATTTCAATTAGCTTTAACAGGCACCTTATTCTTATCCATTCCCCAGCGCAAAGGCAAAGCTTGGTTGAATGAACCGGATTTAGTGGAGCAAGTCAATAACAGCTTACTGACTGTGCAACAGGTGACCCAAGGATACTTGCGTTCAGTGCTTGGTTTCAGCCGTTCCTTTTTTGTTGATTCGTGCATTAATGTGGTTTCATGATGTTCACCACGGTGTTCTACTGTTCCGCATTTAAGCGAATTTGCTAAGTGACATTCGCAATGTTTCACATGTTTCAGGCAGGCAATACGTCCCATTTTAAAGTTGTCTCCATAATTAGCTTTTCTTATGCATCGACAGAAAATCGAAGCTTTCCAGGACTTGCGGGCCGAGATTACGATGCTCCGGCTCACCGTTCCGTTGAGTCTATTCTGTGTGGACTGCAAAAGTGTGAACGAGGAACTGGCCAATCGGGCGTGGAAATTGAGGGACATTTTGGTCTCATTCGAACTCGATGAGAACCGAGACGTCAATCGCAGGTATATCAGACCTACTTGAAAGTATGCTTTGTTAATGCGTCGTTGGGATAGAAAACTTATAGGAGTATAGACAATATCGATGCTGTTAGCTAACCGCGGTAATCGAATGTTTCGATTGTTCATGAGGAGTCTGATTCCCTTTGTTATGTATGGTTGTTTGCTTGCATGTGGATTTTGATCGGTGATCTAAGACAGACAGTTAGATACTTGAATCTCGGGCTTACCACTACCGACTGCTCCTTTCGTTTCTACCCCAGTTTCGACTGAGTAGGGCAATCCGTCCGGTCTGGAACTGAAAGTGGGTAATCAGGACCAAAGTTTAAACTAGTACCCATATGGTCACGAGTCGTGTGAGCAGGGCTGTGACCGAAGTCGCTCTGTGTGACACGTGACGCTTTGCTGGTCTGCCCACTTGTGGACAATCAAGGCCGCAGTTCACGCCGTTTTGAACTGTAACGCATCAGATGACGCAATACGTCATCACGCTGTATAGGACCATCTACATGACAGTTTCATGAAGTTCAGATTGTTCAGTTGCTGCGAATGTTGCTAAATGGGTGTGGCAGTCTTGTTGCAAAGGTTTCGTCACCAATAGAGGTGAAAGTACCAGTGCGTTGTTGTGAACCGGAGCTGAGTTGTGGGTTGCTGGTTGTGTTGAGTTGAGTTGTGGTGTGCGCGAGTTTATATACATGCTGGTGAAGGGATTAGTTGTCCCACTCTTATTTTGATTGCCCATAGTCCAAGTGACCCTTGAACTTTACCTCTCTGATTCGCACCTAGTGACCTTCGCTGAAATGGCCCCTTGGACTAATTGCCTGCAAAACAATTGCCTAGTTCAGTGAACAAATTCTCCACCATTTGTTTGATAGGTAACGAGCTGTGACCTTCGCTGAAATGGCCCCTTGGACTAATTGCCTGCAAAACAATTGCCTAGTTCAGTGAACAAATTCTCCACCATTTGTTTGATAGGTAAACGAGCTGTGATATCAACTCTCATAGAATCCAACCATCCGAATTCTAGGAAAACAATGGGGATAGATGTCTACTGATCACCTTCGTATCATTATCTCGTACTGCATGGACAGTGTATTGATACTACTTGTCGATATAAAGTAACTAGCTCTGGATAAACTTGTCTTCTACAAGCACATTCGATGCCACAGGAATTACCCACGATGACCTATTGCGTTAATTCGTCACTTAAAGAAAACAAGTGACTTGAAGGACAGACGTGAGTTCAAGCAAGAAACGGGCTGAATACTTCTAATGGGGCTTCAAGTGCTAGGCGACATACACCTAGCCCCACTAGAAACTAACTGAAGCGCCACTCTCGAGAATCACGTGACAAACTGATTCGCTCTTGAAAAGTGAGTAGATACCCATGCGTTCATCTCTTCTTGGCCTAAATGGTTCTCACTTGGAAGAAATCTGAAGTCAGATATGAAGTTTTCCAAATTGCAAAAATTAAGGCATCTAAAATCGATGGCATAAGATAAGCATTCCATGACAGTTTTGATGTATCTGTCACACTCAAATCCCTCCGGTCATTTTCTCCAGAAGTAGTCTATTCTGAGAGCAAACACAGCTGACTCCACTCGGCTCCGAGAGGTATAATGACCAGCTTTAAACACATTACACCAATCCGTGGTCACATGGCTGCTCTGTGATTTTGACATTCGCTACGCAGTCTTGGAGGGCTGAGTTTCATTGGAACACAAACAATCCGTTCTAACTAATTATCTGTTCATTTGAATTCAGCATCTGCCGACGATATGATGAGATCATGAACCGCCTGAGCGAAACGCCGCCTGACACAGAGAGTCTAGTCCAGCTTCAGGCCTACATGCGCGAAGTAAACAACACCATGGTGTTCAAACTTAAGGAGGAAGTGGCGGATGCAGCGGAACGACTTAACTTCCTCTTGGATTACGCTTTCCTATCACGTAGGTTTTCCCGAACTTTCGGATTTTCTTTGTAACAATTTCACCGAGTCATTTTGGTGAAAGTTCAGCTCGGTTGCTGGTACGTTGAACCACTACTGACAGACCGGTACAAGAAACCAAACATGCACTTTGGTGGTAGTTATTCTGAAACAAGTTGTATGTAGTACATGTGACGCTTTTTTCCTTCAACTTTCAAAACCCCGTATTCTGAGGTCTGTAATATTTGAGTTGCCAATCCTAGCCAAAACAGCCTCGATTGCATGTGATGATAAGAAAGATCAATGTCATCTTCATTTTCATCATCACCGTCACCATCACCATCACCATCATCATCTTCGTCATCATCATCGTCATCATCAACATCACATTGCTTGCTCCAAGGAGTTTAACTTTTTGAGATGACTAATTCACAGCCCTGGATATTTCTACTTGGGGTGTCAACTTCCCAGGTGTACGGTCACACATGACCGCAGTGGTCCTAGTAGGAACGACTTTGTTCCGCTTGTTCCAGTCTGAAACTTATTTCTGATTTTCTGATTGTCATCATCAGTGGGATTTTGCTTTCTGCATATACGACAGAAGTTTCCTTTGGTTCGTTTTGCCAAACGGCCTTTGCGCAGTTTTGGATAAGCCCTATTGAACCAAAGACAGACGTGGGAAGACCTTGGGGGCTCTATTTAGAAACTTATCCTAATTGTATGGGAAAAATTCGGAGGTAATTCTTGACCAGATCCATAGATAGGAAATATTCTGACCGATGTCCGAACGTATTTCCATACACTTTTAGAGGATGATATCAAACTGAACTCCACCCTATTCTACTGGCCCGAACACATTCTCAGCGTGCTGGATGTGACCACCACACGCGTGAACATGCTTCGCGAGAATGCAGAGGAAGATCTGAAACATCGGACAGTCACGCTGGAACAACGCATTCTGAACTGCTGGGATCGGATTACAGCCATGCGCAAACGAGAGGGTATTACGCAAGAGGAAATGGTTAAATCAGTCCAGCTGTTGGATGAATTTCTGGTTGAACTGGAGACTTTAATATCGGACGCAGAACAAGTGAATAAGTGAGCGAGGACAGATAAGCTGTGACTTTGTCCGTAGTATTCTCTCTGTAATCGGTGCGACGCAACCAATCAAATTAACTTGTCATGTCGGCGATTGACTTAATACTTTGTTCTGTAAGACCTATTGCCTTTGAAATCAAATAACAATCGAGTAGGGAACTCTGGACAAAGTGATTCTAGTTTAGATATCTTTCGCCTCAATAAGACTTGACTTAATTTCCGTGACTAATCACCCGATAATATCACTAACGGTTCGTCATTTGAAACAAAATACCGACTACCGACTTTCCTGATTTCAGGGAGGAAGCCCTCGTACAATGGGATCCAACTCAGTTTCCTCAGCTTGTTGAGCTCCGGCGACAAATGGATCCGTTCGACCGTCTATGGCGTACCGCCCTCGATTTTGATACATGCAACAAGAACTGGCTCCAGGCGCCTTATCACACTTTGAGTGCATATGAAATTGAGGCGCACGTGTCAGAAATGTATAAAACGATGCACAAGCTAACAAAGGTCTTCGTTGATCTTCCCGGACCGTCCAAAGTGGCGCAGAAAATGAAGGTAAACTCTGCTGCATTATACCAGGTGCCTAAACCGTCAAATGCCGTCCCTAGCAACAATTCACCCTATCTAGTCACCTCCTGATAAATCGTCAGTAAAGTTTTTCCAAGTGAATACGATCTTTCACTGCTACTTATTGATCAGGTCGGGTAGCGCGAGTATATCTGAATAGTATGAACATCTTTACAAAAGTTTATCGAAACGCATGGAATGGGTGTTGAATTTAACAGCTTTTTTATTTAACTTAGGCTTTGGGAGGTTCCTTTATCAGCTAGGATAAGCGGACTGACAGCAGTGATCAGTTTGTTTAACCTGATGAACACCTAGTTATCACAATAACATAATTTGCACTAAAAGGATACAGTCGACGAAGCGAACGAGCATACCTGGTTTCAACTACCGGTCGTAGAAACTGTGACCTTGCATATGGAGTGACCAGTCCAGTTTCTTGGTCCAAACAGTGATAGATTACGCGCTTGTCGCACTTCGAGGTCAATAAATTTATTCAAAGTGGATTTTCTTTTTTTCCTTTTTAGGACACCATCTATTAGGACACCACATTTTCGTGTAAAATACTAAACATACTTTTCACGGAGGAAACTACTCACAAGGTTGCTGAAAACTCTTCGACAGCCCACGACCGGTTTCGCCCTTCTTGGGGCTCATCGGGAAGACGCAGTCCCCGAGTTTCTGTCAATCTTATGTTCTACTTGAACACAAATTGGACTGCTTTCGAGGAACACACTCATTTGCAAATCAATATGGTTTTCACGAGAGATTAAAGTGAATCTCTCGTCTATCTGCAAATAAGTGTAGTTCTCGAAAGCAGTTCAATGTGGGTTCAAGTAGGACATAAGGTTGACGGAAAATTGGGGAGTGCGTCCACCTGATGAGCCTCAACAATAGCGAAACCGTTCGTGGGCTATCAGCAACCTTGTGAGTAGTTTCCCTCACGAAAATATGCTGCGATTTCTCGAATATCGTTCCAGCTGAAATATGAAGTGGCCTGTGTGCAGCACATCCAGTTGTAGAACATCACAAACGAGAGATTCAGTTGAGTCTCTCGTGAAAACCAAATTGATTTGCAAGTAAGTAAGTGTAGTTCTACTAAACACTCGTTTTACATGTGTGATGGTAAGGCGCCTACAAATGTTCACAAACTGTGACATTCCAGTTCTTATGAGCCAAACAAATGAGACAGAAATCTGTGCACACAAGCGCGCGGAACTGGGCACCGAACTAACGGTACCCGTTCAATAGTAAGGGTTTACGACTCTCATCAGTTTGGGAGTCATTTTAGTCACATTTCTACCGATAGCCACGCTGAGGGGAAAACTTCATCCCACGAGCCGAGGGTGGTATGGCTGTTTCATCCTTGTTGAGGAGCATCATCAGTGCTCATCGCACGAATTCATAGGTAGACTGAACCAGCGTTTGGTAATCGAGATCTGTACCAGTGCGTCACGGGTGACCGATCAGCTTTGGCAATATACAACCCCGTCGTCATTCTTCAGTAGGTCAGTTGGTGTAAAGTGATCCGGCTGGTTATTGGAATGATTATAAGTCTAGAATTACACTCATTAGCAAATCAACTTGGTTTTCACGAGAGACTCTACTGAATCTCTCGTTTATGGTATTCTACAACTAAATGTACTGCACACAGGCCGCCTCATGTTTCAGTTGGTAAAATATCCGAGATGTTGCAGTATATTTTTATAAAGGATGATAAGTCTAAGTGGATGAAGATTATGCCTGGATATCAAGGACTGGGGGATTGAATTTTAACAGATCATTCGGCCACCTTTGTTGTCAAACGGTTCACTCACTTTGCTGGAGTCTTTTCACATCTCCAATTAACAATCTGAGAAAGTCTACTCACCCTCCGCGTGTAGAGTTGGAATAATACAGTGCAACCATCTTCTAGAACAGGGAGTGTTGGTGATGTCTTTGGTACAGTAATAATTATGACAGGAAAACTCCTGTCTGGAAGCAACTCAGAATAGTTTCACTTTTTTCTCAATCGAAAACACAACGGGAAAAAACATACCCAACCATGCATTCTATGCATCCGCAAAGTGTCACTGTTTTTCTCTACCTAATTTGGTTGTAAATCCATCTGTGCATTTCACTTTCAGGCCAAAATTATCAAATTCCAACAGTTCCTTCCCGTCATCCACGTTGTTTGCAATCCGGGCATACAACCACGACATTGGGACCAAATGAGTGATATTGTGGGCTTCGACATTAAACCACAGTCCGACACACAGCTAATCGTTTTCCTAGAATACGGGTTGAACGAATTTTTGGAACAACTTGAAGAAGTTGGTGCAGCTGCTGCGAAAGAACACCAGCTGGAAACCACAATGGCGAAAATGAAGGAGGAATGGCGGCTCATGCGGTTTGAACTGCTCCCTTACAGAGATACTGTGAGTGAGAACGGCTTTCGAATGATATGATATTCTGTCGTTCGTTGTCTGGATTTACAATTGGTGGTATTCGAAAAAAAAGCTTCATTAGATTGTGTTGAAAGAACGGAGTGCCTAGACATTTCAGTGCATGGTACCTCCACCCTCAAAAGATGCTTGTGAACCAGACCAGTCGGTCGATTTATCGAGTGCAAGTATTCGGCATTACATTCGGGTAATCAAGATGTGTTTGTTCTTGTTTGGCCTTGTTAGCCAAATTGTTTCGGATAACCGTTCGTTTATTCTCGCACTTGAATATGCTGGGATGGTTTGGAGGCAGAGTATCGGTTCGGTGGACAACTAGCTGAATGCAGGAGAGCCTTGTTCTCATCTTGCGTTCATCTGCTTGCCGATGATGAGTTATTGGGATCTAATGTCTCCACAATCCATGTCACATGTGCCTATTGGCAAGACCTGAGCTTGAGAAAGCTCAGGTATTAGAGCGCGAGCCTAGTGACCCGAAGATTCGTGGTTCAAACCCACTCTGGATCTCGACTGCTGCCGCCTGGGTTAGAGTAGCCTAGTAGTATCTCAGCTGTCATGCTTCCGTCGGATTGTACGGCAGCTAAACACTAAAAGGGTGTTATAACAGAAGGGCGACTACGATCACTGATGTGGCCCATGTTAGCACCATTAAATAGACCACATAAGACCTGATGTGGCAATTGGCTGGTTTCAATTCGCCGCGCTTCTGAAGTGAGACTGAGTTAGTCAATTCTTAAGAGCAGTTTAAGATAAAGTTATAGCATGATGGTGACTTTGAAATCTGAAATTAGTCTGACTGGAAAAGGCCATGTTATTTGACACAATCAGTTGCGAAAGAAACTGCTTTCAAAGTTGCCTTAAATTTCTTCTGAGTCATCCTAAGCGACCTGACCGTTCGCTAATTCAGGAAAGAGGTTGATCTGCTTAAGCCTGTTAGATCGTCAGATGATAAAATTTTGAAAATTTGTATGGCTGTTGGTTTCCTACTGTTCTCATTTGTGACAAATACATCCTAGTAATGCGAAACGTTTTGGGTGTTGAGAGCACTGCTTGACGTAGCAAAATCCCGTTCATTAGCCGCCTTTTAGTAGTATGGTACATCAATCTTGCTTACACGACAAAACTTGTCTGCTCCCTTGTAGGGTATTTCAATCTTGTCGGCCATCGATGACATTCAAGTTCTGCTGGATGACCACATAATCAAAGCGCAGACAATGAGGAACTCCCCGTATATCAAACCATTTGAGAAAGAAATGGTTGCCTGGGAGACCAAACTCATATTGATGAATGATATTTTGGATGTCTGGCTCAAGGTAAGACTTATCCACATGCCTCTCGGAACAGTGTATCCTCCGTATACAGTAGTGCAAAACAGTACATGTAGACGGCCAACTCCTGGTGAGCAGCTTTCTGAGATGTGCTGCGTGTTCGTGAGAGAAGTTGGGCCGATCTTTAGCCGGACACCCTACTCGTCCCCGCAAACGGGAGATTGCCGCTTATGTGCCCGGCTGGATATGACGAACCTCCTAACAACAACCTTTGAGGCAAACGAAAGTGCATTCAGTATATACTTTATGTGGCCGGTTCAGCCCACTTTGGTGAACTCTTTCCCTAGCAACCGTCAGATGTAACCAATAGACAAAATGCAGACAGATTTCATCATATTCTGAATAAGTATTCTTGATGCACTGGGCAGCTGGACGAACTGAGCTGCGATGTCTAGCTCTACTACCTAAGTGAGTTGATGAACCTCGTGCGCTCGAAAAAAAAACTTTCCTCTAATCCCCGGTTCCCGTAGTTTTTTGTTTGCTTAAGACTCTGACGCCTTCTAATCGTCCGACTTGATGGTTTGCCATAGATACAAGCTCGACGATGCTTCAATTTCTGTCAACAGCAAGACTCCTCAATGGGAACTTCGTCGTTCTCGCTTCGAATTGGAGATGGATGTTCAGCGGTCGTCATAACTGCTTCAAATTTTGCAGCGTTTGTTGACGATTTTTCCAGGTCCCCTGACAACCTTCTTTGAGTTATTCCGTGCGTTTGTGCATGTTTACGTCTTCATATCCGAAACTGACGAGTATTCCGCCACAGCACTGGCAGAACACTTTTGAAGTCGCCGCTAGTCTGTCTGGCATACAGTAACACGTCTGTCTTGATATACGTGATAACCGTGGGTATGCAGTGAAGTTTACTACACTAGGGATATGAGGTCATCGGAAGCAGGCAACAATCAATCGGGAAACAGGAAGGACTGGCCATCCGAGTTGATGGGCAAAAATTCAACTATCTTTATTTGCACATATCAACCATAATAATACAAATTCGGTGGAAAACGTCGTTTGACGCTGAATTACAAGGTCAGTGAGGTGACCAGCTATGAACGGAAGTGCGTGACTCAACACGTTTGAAGGCATCCCCAATTTGACCTCATCACACCTTCGCTGGGAGATTCCTGTGGGAAGGTCCACAGGTCACTCGGTGTACGTGAGCGGAACCGCCAGCACACAGAACAGAACATATTTCAAAGGCGATTTGTAAGTCGAGAGACGGGGACAAGGCTCGTCCGTAGAATGGATAACAAGTCTTGGATTTAAGGAGAAGAAAATTCTCCGGGCAGACTGGGAGCAGTACAGAATAACATGGAACGCCCAAGACCACACTCATTTACATAGGAAATTGAGGGTAATTAGATTTGCTTGGTTTCCCAATGGGGTAAGAGAGCTTCCTCAGCTTCGGGAAGGCTGTTCCAAGATTTGGGCTGACCAATCATCATCATCATCCTCATATTCCTCGTCCTCACCATCATCATCACCATCATCATCATCATCACCATCATCATCATCATTATCATCATTATCATCATCGTTGTCAGATTTAAGAACCGCGTACTCGTCGTACAGTGGTTGTAGCTGCCACAGTTTCGTTCACCGATGATACGGGGAGGTGGGGGAGGTAGTTGCGAGTGCTGATAAATTGTTGCGTAAATACGGTATCGTCAAGTGCGGGGATTGGGAAGGGAGCTATGCATTGAAGGCAACAGCTTGGATGCACGAGCGCCATTGAGGGCGCGACTGGGCCATGTCTGACAATGTCTCCAACCATTGATGTAGCCCGTCTCGGGGTCCCCATCCAGGGAAACGGAAATGACCAACGAAGCTGAGTTTGCTGATAATGACTTTTATACCTCACTGCCAAGTCATTGTTTGGCCGCCTCTGGCTCAATGCCACCCTTCACTCGATTGTGCCAAAAGGGTTCTTCGAGGAAGGCGGTCGACTGGCATACAAAACACGTGGCCAAGCCAGCGCAACCTATGCAGTGTGATCAGTTCATCTATCGAGGGTGTTCGAGCCCACCCAGTTTAGCAGTAGCAGGTAACACTTTGTAGGTGTGAAGCGCATGCCGAACAGCGGGGCAGAATTGTTTATATTATTTAATATTGTTTGATATTTGTTAGCGGAGGCCCCGGGAGCACTTCGATCTCACAAGCATAAGAGGCTGGTATTGAGTCTTCCATGATCGTATCAATGACGAAGTTGAAGAGGAAAGGTGAAAGAGGACAGCCCTGTCGGACACCACTTGATGTGGTGAACTCAGGAGAGAGCTTCCCGTAGACCTCTACACGACCGCGGGAGTTGGCGTACAGCACCTTAAGGAGGGTCAGCAATTTGCTCCACAGACACTGCCAGAGTACCTGACGGTACACAAAGTCAGAGGCAGCTTTCAGATCAAGAAACACAACCATTGTTGGTTCTACACATATATAAGGTTCCTTCTTTAAAAAGGAAAGAACGAGTGACGTAAAGACGTCCTTCGTGTCGACTCGGAATGATTGAGTTTCAGAATTCTTTAAATCGATAGAGACGTTTTAAAACGACTAGTCTCAGATAAGGAAGAAGTAATGGAGTAGTAGGCAATATCACTATCATATTCGAAAAGTTGTGGACTTGAAGGTTGACAGAATGACAAGCGGAGAGAAACGGTACCTTGACGGAGTATCACAAGGAGGAGGCAAAAAATACTACCGTCCAACTTTTGCACACTGGAAAATGCGGGAAACTAATCAATTGGCCCAAAAAACGGGGAAACGCAGCGGAATAAGACTTAGCTAGGAGAAGCTTCTTGTCCGCAGGAAGAAGTATTCACGAAAAGCAAAGCCCTTCGCCTCCAGAACTGCCTTCGCCCACGAAGGAACAACTCGGTGAAAGAGGAAAGTCACATATTGAATGTGCCGCGAGTGTCTTGCGAACAAACTGGAGAAAATGCGAATAAAAGGAGCACCACATTCCATTTGATTTCCAATAGGTTTAGAGCACAAGCAGATGATAATTTCAAGCCTCTTTGTAAACGGGATCATTGAAAACAGTTTTCCAAAGTTTTTGTACAAAAAAAGCTAGTGAGACATGCATCTCTGATGTCATGCACGAATTTTGTGCATATGCTTCGACGAAATTGTCATCCAGCTAGATTCAAGCAAACGAATCAAGAGCCGGCTACCAGTCGGATTGGGCTGGGGAATTTTCAGGGTACCGTGGAAGCATAGGAGAGAACTCTTCACATACAGTAGACAGCATTTGTCCCTGCTGCACAGGGACAGACACGAAAAGGGACTTCATGTCCTCATTCCCTGTTGTATGTCCAGGTTGAAGGCATTCATTACGATACACCTCCCTCATTTATTTGCGCGCTTCTTCTGTCTTCGAAGCCATTTGAGATGCACGAAGAAAGCCAATCCTTTACGAAAGGATGACTTTTCCGAGGATAAGTATTGGTTAGTTAGATTAGACGGCAGATGGCAGAATTCGAAAATGGATCAGGAAATACCATGGTTGTAACAGAGTTGATGAATCAGCTAATAATCCATTGATTGCGGCCGCTGGTATCGGATGCATTCCCAAAAGATGACTGTATGGCGCAGGAGTGTCAATGCACGTAAATGGTGACAGGGTGTAGTTACATTGTGTGCAAGAGCGAACATGTCTGCACGACTGACCTTGAAACGTCTGTCTCCGGAAGTTCATAAAGACCATTCTGTTTCGAATGGACCGCTTAGAATAGTCGTGGCCTGAAGCCCATGTGTGGCTAAGTGTACCGGGCTAACAAAACCTAGCTCACAGGACCTCGTGCCGTAGATTTCATTGTCAACTGTCTTTCCATTCTAAATGAGCTTCAGGTGAATTGACGTTCTCAAAAACAGTCCTGTTTGAGTTCAAGTAGGACATAAGGTTGACGGAAACTCGGGGACTGCGTCTACCTGATGAGCCCCAAGAAGGGTGAAACCGGTCGTGGGCTGTCGAAGAGTATTCGGCAACCTTGTGAGTAGTGTCCTTTATGAAAAGACCATTTTGTTTAAAATGAAACGTTTAGGATAGTCATGGCCTGAAGCCCGTGAGTGGCTAAGTGTACCGGGCTAACAAAACCTAGTTCGCCGGACCTCGTAGCGTAGGTTTCACTGTCAACTGTATGCTGGATATCGGAGTGATTTTAATATTTATATTAGGTATAACCATGCTTGGTTTCTCTGTGGCATGTCCAAGACTCGAGTTTGATTGAAATTTCTGGAATTCAGCGGGAGTGAATCTCATTAATGCGGTTAAGACTGATTGAAAAGAACCCTCTTTGTCGTAAAAATATCTAGCATTTTGAGACGCCATCAACCATATCTGTGGGAAAGATACCTCTATTTCGATCAACGATTTCACAAGCACGTACCGAATTCAGGCAGTGAGAATTTACTTTTGAAATGTGACACTTTACTGGACTTCAAATGGGGTGACATTTTTGTAGAATAATACACCCGGATAGCTAGCAAGTCAGCTAGATATTTGATCGTTTTACTTCTGGCTGTCTTCTTGATGTTAGGTCACTTACATTATCAAACTGACTGCAGTGTTTTCTTTGTGTTTAACGCCCCAAAGGGTGCTAGATGTAGTCTCTTCTTCCGGATGACCGACCTCACATTTCGTTGCTTGATGCATTAGCACTTGAAGCAAACAACACCAAACGAGATCATCTTATCCGACAAAACTTGGAAGTGCCTTCTTATATTGGCTTTAGTGAATTGTAGGGTTCTTGAATCATCGTTATGTTGACCCCTGATTGTATGCAACTGTAATGTATGGAACATTTGTTGCTTTTATATCCCAGCATGCTAAATCTAACTGAGGGGAAACTTCGATGTTGACACCCAGTTATATTGCAGCTCAAGCATGGGGCTTGCATTTTCTGTGCTCATATGTCATTATCCACACCTTTTGTCATTTGATATCGATATGTGCTTTATGGTGATTCCCCTAAAGTACAATTCTCCTTTCTTGTTGAAAAGGTACAAGCCACCTGGTTATACCTAGAACCCATCTTCTCTTCCGAAGATATACTTGCACAAATGCCCGAGGAAGGTCGAAAATTTGGTGTGGTAGACGTGATCTGGCGAGAGATCATGACTGAGGCCGCTGTTAACCCTAGCTGCTTGGTGGCTACAGATCAACGTGACATGCTACGGCGTCTAACAGACGCATATATCTTGTTGGAAGAGATCCAGAAGGGCTTGAATGACTACCTCGAGAAGAAACGGCTTTACTTCCCTCGGTGAGCCATCAGAGACGTTTGATAGGTATGGTTGAGGCGAGAATAAGAGTGGTGAAACACTGCAATTGATTCGTAAGATACTGGTCGGCTATAGTCTCAGTGGACTGAGTTAAGCTGATGTACTTGTTCCATCAAATTTGTCCTGCACGCGGGACATCAAGGTATTCAACCCCGAGCGCTGAAGCAACAACTAGAACGACGACTCATCTTTCAAAAGCATAAATAGATCAACCAGTTAACGTTTTGTAACTGTCCGATGGCTGAGTGATTGTCCAGAGTTATTTGACGTTTGATAACGCACCATCAAATGGACGAACCATTGGAAAATTGGGAGATGAAACCGAAGAAAGAGATGAAACTGAAGAGCGTTGTTTTGACTTGTCAGTCGCTTTAAAAAGGCACAGCTGTGTATTTGTGATGGACTACTCATAAGATTGCTGAAAATTCGTCAGCAACCTTATGAGTAGTGCATTACAGATCTATACATGTATCGCAATATCTCGAATATCGTAGTGACTGGAACATGAGGCGGCCTGGTGCAACACATTCAGTTGCCTGGGAACATCACAAACGAGAGATTCAACTGGGTCCCAGGTGAGTCTCTCGAAAAACCAAATTAGTTTGCACATGAATGTATTTCGCTAAGGCAAGCTGTCTTTAAATCGAGTGAAAAGGGTGGCTTACTCTTCATGACGGGCAGTGTGTTGCTTCGAACTACAATCGGCACCAGTTATGATAGCTATTTAATATCTACTTCTAGGGTTGTCGGTGACCTCTAGGCTAACATCGAGACTGGTTTAGCTCAAGTCAATTGGAAGAAAACTTTATTCACTCCATTTGTCGACAAACAGAGAGTAATTCAATCACAGCGGTTTATCACTTCGACCTAACATTTGCTTTATTCTTCCCGCAATACAGCTTCTTTTTCCTTTCCAATGATGAGCTATTGGAAATCCTATCCGAAACGAAAGATCCGCAACGTGTACAACCTCATTTGAAAAAGTGCTTCGAAGGTAAGTTGGCTCTGCTTGGGGAAAAAACCAATTGTATTCCAGGTATCAACCGTCTTTCCTTCACGGAACAGCAAGAAATTATTGGAATGATATCTGCCGAGGGTGAAACCGTGCCGTTTGTAACCAAAATTTACCCTGCAAAAGCCAAGGTAAGCCCCGCCTCCACACAATTCTGTGATTGATTGCTAATGACACAGACGGATCGTCGTCTTATCTCCGTCATTCTATCCGACAATTTGCCTAAAAAGCCATTCAAGGTCACTGAGGGTCACTGAGGCGTCTGACCAACCAATCGCATCACACAAGCGTGAACATGTTTGGTTGCTCAGACGTGATAGTTAATATGCGCCTAACATGCACTGGTCGAGTGGTGGTGACACGCTGGCCTGATTTATCAGATGTGCGGAGTTCAAACCCCAGCACGAGCAACGAAATGCATTTCTGATCAGCCCCAATAAGAGCGAAACTCGAGTCCAGTGCTTTCTCCCTTTGGTGTGGATTGACTAGGTGCCTCAAGCAACATCTGAGACGATGCATCTCTTGATAACGAACACAAGCAACTGGGTTTGCTAGGTGCCTCAAATGGGACCACTAAGGTTACGACCAAACAAATCAACCTCCTCTCGACTGGTATTCGTGAGAATAATGTTCTCTTTTACCACTTCAGCTTTTCACGTCTTTTTTTGTAGCCTGATGCGTGACATGGCGCGCATTTGCTCAGCTCGTGCGAAAAGCGTGGTAAGCCTTTATCCAGGTAGACGGAAAAAGTTGTGGAGTTCAAGATCACCCTGATAGTACGAAGTTCACACAGGACAAGAAATTTTTGTTGTCCTAATGGCTTTTTTAGTAAAGGAGGACTATGTACTTTTGTCTTGTAGCACTGATGGTTGAATGTGACTGAAGTGAGACGTGTAGCGGGTCACCGTGTTTTTGGATTTACCACCTTACCGTGCTCTGTGCGTCCGATCACCTTCCTGCAAGCACGTTTACGGCTTTTGATTTCCGCACATTCTAGCGCCCAGTGGCAACCACTGGAGTGGGAAATTCATATGGGTCCTGCATCCACAAGGTCTAACTGGGATATCATATAAAACCCTAGCGAATTCCGATTCGGCTTTGCACCCACCGATTTAGGTGTAACACAAAACACTTGGGAAACTGTACTTTTTGGTTGGTGACACTGAACAGAAGGTCATGTGACCTTGCAGCGCTAGAGGAAGGCGATTTTCTAGTACACCTATTATGAAGTTGTTAGTCGCCAGGACTGCGTAGATGGAAAGTCCACCGGCCTGTAGTTGGATAAACAGAACTCCGTTTGGTGGTATCTTGAAGTAGATCATTGCAGCTCGGATTGGACGTTCAATAAAATACAACGCCTCGACAATCACTAACCACCCTTCTCGGGTCACAACCAAACTTTCGGGCTCTTCGATTGCATTCTGCACACCCAATACAGAGAAAGCTCAACAGTAACACGAATTTTTCTTAATCACATCCTTTTCTCCCGTTCTTATCATTTGGAAACTGAAAGCTACTGTTTGACACTTGCTCAGAACAGACTCCGTTAACAGCGGCACACCTGGTTCAATTCCCCTCATCCCCGTTCAAACCCAACTGTGTTTATTCCTTCTCAGGGTATGGTCGAAAAATGGCTTCTCCAGGTCGAAGATGTCATGTTGAGCAGCCTGAGAAAAGTTATTTCCGACAGTATCTACGGTTATTCAGCAACACAACGAGAGAAATGGGTGCTTGACTGGCCTGGGCAGGTAGGTAAATTTCCTATTTTCATTCGTCAAAACCTACCTGAGCGGAGTCCTTTTGACATTTCACAATATTGTTATGATGAAAGTTCTGGATGACTTCTGTAATGTATTCATCGGGTCGCTTTCGTGAGAGTGTTTTGTACTTGTCATGGTCATAGTAAGTTATTTGTAAGATGAATACCATTCAGCCCGTCTGCACTCACCCATGCTTCACGAGTTTGAGTGTCGTATGGCAACACGTGCTAAAAGCAACCAATACGATTATGATTAAGCTGTAAGTTAGCATCTGCTCCCACATCCAACGACCGATGTCGCAATCCATTCGAGCAACCCTATATCTGGAACTGTCCAATACCAAGAAAATGTCTGTTTTTGACCTGCAAATTGATTTTCACTCAGCCACTTACATCGCCCGTTCATGTAAAGAATGCGTAAGAACACTCAGTTCGACTTTTTGGTGTTGACAATCAGACGAACTGTGAGTGTGCTACTTACTGTGGTTGTAGAAGTGCTCACAGTCTGCGAAATGCTTAGTCTGCTTTTGACCTTGCAAGTCAACGAAACGTAGCCTCTCTAATGTCTACCTTTGTTATTTCAGGTCGTCATTTGTGTATCGTGCATTTACTGGACAGAGGAAGTCCAAGAGGCAATGGGTCACAATGCGTTGGCCAGCTATAAAGAAAAGTGCGACAAACAAATTGATGACATTGTACGACTGGTTCGAGGCCCGTTGTCCAGTGGAGAACGAATCACTTTGGGTGCTCTGATTGTGGTCGATGTACATGGCAAGTGATAGATAACTAGTACTAGTCTTTCCCCCTCCGAAACAACTAACCGAGATTCTCCGTCTTCTTACCTTATTCTTTCTTATAGTTTGAAATCCTACAAATCCCAGCCATGCTTTGTGAATCCTAGATGTAGCCACGTCATGTTCATTCTGCGATTGAAGGATGAGGGTGCTATAAATCCTGCTTAAGTGTGAGCTAGACACACCGATGATCAGCCCCTCATAGCTGTGTTTGAACTAAAATGAAAATTTCTGGAGTTTCGTACGGAGTGCACTGCTGATGATCCCAATAAGGATAAAACAGCTGCACAGCGCTTCTTGGACTTCCAGCATAGGTTGGCTTCACTTACAGGACGGAATCTATTTTAGAAAGGAAGTGCCTAACAATAGCACAGAAGCGGAGAGCAATCACCCTCCTCTATTTTAAACCACTCGCTCCTTCCCATGCAGTGAACGGGACAGACTACAAGCTCGTCAGCTGGCCATTTTGTCACTTCTACATACTATACGCTACTCACAGATATAAGACCAAAACAGAGGTGTATTTCAGTGCCTAACACTATCCCACTACCTGTTCCGTAATAGTATATTTATCCCTCCTGTAAAAACTGCTTGTTTGTAGTGCTTAATCGCTCCCCAGCCTATGCACGTGATCTTCGTAATTTCTGTCACAGGGTCTTCTTCAAGTCATACCGATGTCTTTGGCAAGCACGTAGAATGGGGTTCTTCCAAAGGACTCAGTGAGGGTAACCATCAATAGCACCTTTTGAAAGGGACTGGCCCATACCACTTGGAAAGCTATGCCTTACATTAGCTATTTACTGTGGTACTGGGAGGCAATCCCCTGTACCGGGGAAAAATATGCATTCTAAATTTCATTGTTCGCAATGAACCAACCCGAGCTAACTGTATTCCAACAAAGTGTACAAACCGTCAGGTAAAACCTGAAGCTCATTACATGGGTCTCAAAGTGCGCTCAAATTTGACCGTTCAAACGAAAATCTAGAATGAGCTACCTGAGAATAAGATACAGCTGAGTACGCAGGATTACCTGGCCTGTTTGGAAATTCACAGTTTCACCAGGTCACTGTTTGAGCTAAAGCCACAAAACATGAGGTCCCAGTTCATCGCATGAACAAATAGTTTGTTCATCCCAAGATTCCTCCGCTATCCCTACACCATTTCGCGTAACGTCCCTCTGTGCGGCCTCTATTGCCCCGTCCGGGTGATCTCAAAGCTTCTGTGAGTTGCAGAGCTTTAACGAGTAGCTCTTGCGTACAAAGACCTATGGATTCCGACATAGCACTTGTAGTCAAAACAGCAATCTCAAGCGCGCCGGCACACGTCCAAAAGGCGATTTAGTGCTGCCGATTAAGTTGTACTTGAAGGCAGCTAACATCAGGTTCTGTATTTTGCATGGAAAAACGACAAACAGATGGTCAGTCATGGTATGCAGTCGCCGGTTGATAGTATGTTCATACCCGTTTATGTCTTACTCTGCGTTAAATGGGCTTGATGGAAACCAGTGGAAAGATTCAGTAGTCGGATGGAATCGATAGATAGATAGATAGATAGATAGATAGATAGATAGATAGATAGATAGATAGATAGATAGATAGATAGATAGATAGATAGATAGATAGATAGATAGATAGATAGATAGATAGATAGATAGATAGATAGATAGATAGATAGATAGATAGATAGATAGATAGATAGATAGATAGATAGATAGATAGATAGATAGATAGATAGATAGATAGATAGATAGATAGATAGATAGATAGATAGATAGATAGATAGATAGATAGATAGATAGATAGATAGATAGATAGATAGATAGATAGATAGATAGATAGATAGATAGATAGATAGATAGATAGATAGATAGATAGATAGATAGATAGATAGATAGATAGATAGATAGATAGATAGATAGATAGATAGATAGATAGATAGATAGATAGATAGATAGATAGATAGATAGATAGATAGATAGATAGATAGATAGATAGATAGATAGATAGATAGATAGATAGATAGATAGATAGATAGATAGATAGATAGATAGATAGATAGATAGATAGATAGATAGATAGATAGATAGATAGATAGATAGATAGATAGATAGATAGATAGATAGATAGATAGATAGATAGATAGATAGATAGATAGATAGATAGATAGATAGATAGATAGATAGATAGATAGATAGATAGATAGATAGATAGATAGATAGATAGATAGATAGATAGATAGATAGATAGATAGATAGATAGATAGATAGATAGATAGATAGATAGATAGATAGATAGATAGATAGATAGATAGATAGATAGATAGATAGATAGATAGATAGATAGATAGATAGATAGATAGATAGATAGATAGATAGATAGATAGATAGATAGATAGATAGATAGATAGATAGATAGATAGATAGATAGATAGATAGATAGATAGATAGATAGATAGATAGATAGATAGATAGATAGATAGATAGATAGATAGATAGATAGATAGATAGATAGATAGATAGATAGATAGATAGATAGATAGATGATTAGATAGATAGATAGATAGATAGATAGATAGATAGATAGATAGATAGATAGATAGATAGATAGATAGATAGATAGATAGAAGATAGATAGATAGATAGATAGATATTATTAATCACGTTATAATGAGTGTGGGTGTAGCACAGACTAATTGCTACCCATGTATCAATGCCCTGCAGCCCGTGATGTGGTCGCTCAAATGGTTGATCACAAGATCAATTCCACTCAAGCTTTCGAGTGGCTTAGTCAACTGCGCTATTACTTCGACTCAGAGGATGCTACGAAAGTCACCGTGTGCCAGATCACCACGGAGTTGGATTACGGGTAAGGCGTTCCTCAGTTTCAGATGAAAAGTCTAGCACTATTTTCCGAATCCACCTGAAAATAAACTGAATTTGCACACTCTGGGTTGAAGATCGTTGTATCTGTCAGCTTTTTAGTGCAAACAAACTCAACCGGTAATCAAAATTCCACTGTACAGTCGGACGATCGGGATGATGAACATACCTTATTCCACGTGCCAACAACTTTAACTGATAGAAATTCTGCATTGTGACTCAGTCCTTGCTCTTTCGACTGAACAGTTCTGGCAATCTACTAAAAACGTAGCTTTTTCTTGCCAGCTTTGTGTTATCCTTACTTGATTGTTAAAGTTTCCATCTGGTCATTCCATGCTCCCTATGAATGAAATCGAAATCTACCCTTCTTGAATGGTCTAGTGGATCCTGAAATCCCTTGATCGAAACGAACATCAGGTCTCGTAGTCGCAACCGTCCGGGATGTCATTCACTGTGCGGTAAATTAGTTACTAGACTCTGGATTCCAACAGCATACAGTTCTTTCACAGCTTACTTGATAGAACAAGTGTCCCACCAAGATGAAACTGAGATCCAATTCCAAGCCTCTCACAAGGAGTAGCATACTCAAAGTGACCCAACGAAAGTCTACAATGTTATCCATTAAAATACAAGGACTCGCGAACGGCAAACCTACAGTGTACAATTCTTTGGTGAGTATGCACTTTACGGAAGTCGGAAGCGCCATGCTTCAAAACTGCCTTACACTGTTACGGACTGTGCACGACTGTTTGGTAGGACACGGCCAACATCTGCATTCAGTTACTTGCTTCATTGCAACAGTAAGCTTTCGTTAGAGACAAATTATTCATCGTCACAACAGCTTCTTTGAATACTCAAACCTTAAGTCACAGAAATTCATGCGTAAGGGTTTGAATTTTAAGCATTTACCATACCTCACCACGGCATTCATATTAGACTGACATTTTTCAAAGCCACACTAGAAGAACCTGTCAACTGAACTCGTTAAGAACGGTTTCATTTCTTTACCACCGAAACACAACCAGTAATCGTGGTTGTTTCGATTATATCCGAATGGTCTTCCCTTCCCCCTTTTAAACCCTTCGGCGAACCCAAGTTACGAATATTTGGGAAACACGCCACGCCTGGTTATCACCCCACTAACAGACCGTTGCTACCGCACCCTGATGGGTGCGATCAAACTGAACCTGGGTGGTGCACCAGAGGGTCCTGCGGGTACGGGAAAAACGGAAACCTCAAAGGTAGGTTCACTTACGAGTGGAAACTAGGAAAAAAAAGTGTCGTTTTAGGGACTGATGCTTTGGCATTTTCATTATTTCCAGTAGTTTCGTTAAGACTCTTAATGATACGGGTAGGAAATGGTTAGTCGGGGTTTTCAGTAACCTTGCGAGCAGTTTCCTCTATGAAATGCCTAGTCATCTTTTCCCGTCATCATAATCTTGATCATTATCACCGTCATCAACGTCATCACCATCAATACTAACAACGATAACAAAAACAAGGACAACTTGGTCATCGTCGGTGCACTTTTCCTGGCAATACCAGGATCGCATCGTTCCGGTGCAGTGCAAGAACAATGGAACCCCCAAAATAAGTAGTTCAGAGTAAGAATAACAAGACAAGTGAAGCTTCCATCTGAGATGTCATTGCTCGAGCCAGCCAACACTCAAGGATGTGTGGCGCTTTATCCTGTCCAAGTGTGAGTTAATCGCACTGCTGATCAGTCGCTCGTGTTTCGTCACTGACTGCAAGGTCGCCGGTTCGAAGCTCTCAGAGTTTCATGAAACGCTGATGAAGCCCAATAAAGATGAAACCGGTGCACAGTGCTTTTGACCTTTCAGCCTACGTTGGCTTTATTTACAAGATGAGATCTCTCGACTGAAATCTCGCAGTTTGTTCAATGATTGACATATCAGCATGTCAGAGTAAACCATATTCATAATGTACGGTTCGGTTTTTCCTTCCTGAGTAAAGGGAATCACTAAACCTTCCCTTTGAACTCAGTGAAAATAATGAAGAATTATGGAAACTGTCATTTTTCGCTAGACTTGCACATCGATTTACGCAACTGTCGAACAGCAGGGTTGGTCTGAGTGACATTGAAAAGTTTGTAAGGAACAACCAAGTTGATCCAAAGTTTAGAGTAGTGCATAGCACTGAAGATTTGCGGTATTACGGACAGCGCAAACACCTCAACCTTTCCTTTCTTCCAGGACTTAGCCAAAGCTGTTGCTAAACAATGTGTTGTGTTCAACTGCTCCGATGGCCTTGACTACCGTGCCATGAGCAAATTTTTCAAAGGACTCGCGCAGTCTGGTGCTTGGGCCTGTTTTGATGAATTCAATCGCATTGATTTGGAAGTCTTGTCGGTGGTGGCCCAACAGATCTTCTGCATCCAGTCAGCCATTAGTGCTGGACTAAAACGTTTTGTGTTCGAGGGCACGGAACTCAGCTTGAATCCGACATGCACCATGTTCATTACGATGAATCCAGGATATGCAGGGCGGCAAGAACTGCCAGACAATTTGAAGGTAAGATCAGGGTTACAGGAATCAACTGAAGCGTTTACATTCATTAAACTGTGGAGCTGGGCAAATTTAAGAAACTGCAGAAGCCACCACGTTATTCAGAATAGACAGTATTATAGGGGATTAATGCAGAAGTGAACCGCACTGTCATCCGGACTAAATTTGCTGAGCACAAACACAAACTCTGCATGAAATGCGACGGCAAATGTTACTATAAGTTTAACGGTGGCTCATGTCTGGTCTGTACCTCAAGTGTTGCTTACTTTGTCTAATTTTTGCTGAGTACGCCTGCAGACTTCTTCTCGGTTATCGATCACATGAGTTCATTATGTTTGATGCAATTGGTAAGGTGAGACTGTACAGGATTTTAGTCACAGGTATGGGGCGTACATTGAGTGGGGTATTTCACTGGGTGTTAAGACCTGCGTTATCGATCACATGAGTTCATTATGTTTGGTGTAATTGGTAAGGTGAGACTGTACAAGATTTTAGTCACAAGTATGGAGCGTACATGGAGTGGGCTCTTTCACTGGGTGTGAGGACCGGTTACAGAAGTACATTGGGAAAGCCTTCGACAGTTCACATGGACTGATAGGTCAGCTCCTTGTTGGCGGATTGTAAACGGACGGATTGAGTTTAAAGGCATTTCTAAGCTTTTTCAGAACGGACCAGTTGAATCCCGGTGATTTCGAATAAACCAAATGGGTTTCTGAAGTAAGTAGTACTGGGTGATTGTTTAACATCTTGCATTTGAGGCTTTTACTAGTTGTGAACCAATATTCCTGACCTACATCTCCACCTACCTACATTAGGCGGTTAGAGTTGATAAGTATCCCGCCGGTTCGAAAATCGTTGGAACTTACTTGTTTCTCTTTGATATCCATGTATAGCTCTTTGAAAGCTCTTCAAATCAACTGACTTGATAAGCATGTTTAGCTTGTCTGTTCTCATTCTTGTCAGTGAAATATCGGATCTTTTCCAGATAAGCCCCGTCGAAAAATTAACCCCTGTCATCCACAAAAAGATTGGAAAAAAGAGGATATGAAATTAGTACTTTTAGTTTTTATTGAGGAGGGTGAAATTGGGACATGTCAATAATAATTTGCATGAAAAGGTCCGCTTTTCGGTACCTTTGCCTCAAAACGAACTCACACAAATAGCTGCCTACTAAAGATCGCATTGTGTGTGTCGCATTGGCGTTTATTCCGCATCTTGTAGACATGCCAAAGAGATTCGATGATTTGTGTGTGGGCTTCAGTCGCTGGATTTACAAAGTTTTCGGTAGGATTAACCGTTTCATGAGCACAACTCATGTCAATCATCGTTTCAATTCCTTGGTATGATGCCCACATATCGGAGATGATGATTGAGCCGAGAGCGATGCAGGCCTGCATTGTGTCCGTCGAAATGGCCGCAATTCGATCTGGCACCGCATACATGAACACCTCTTTAGTTTCCCTGCAGATCCCTCCGAGAATCCACTGCTGGGGAAGGACTCGCCCTGCGAGATATTAGCGTTTCATCGATCTTGACGTGCAGACCTGGGCCGCCGCAAAAAACGTATTGCCTTGTCATGAACGAGAGTTGAAAGCACAAAATGAGCCTAGATGCGGATAAGGAATCGTTTTCATCAAAAATAGTCCAAGGTTGTGTGCGTACATTGAATTGGAGCTGGCAAAAGTGGCAGGGCTTAACTTTCGCACATGTATATCTTGCATTAGTGGCGGGGCTTATCTGGAAAAGATCCGAAATATCTATGTTCAGATTGTCCGAAACCTTGGTTTTCCAACGTTTGTTGATAGAGGTTTATACAGGCAGCGTCGTTCTCAACTGAAAACGAACCGAAAACTGTAAGCACTGTCAGCTGTGAGCTGTTGGCTGTCTACGGTCAAGGCCACTGATATCAACAGTGTAACTAATTTCGCGAAGGTCCTGTTACCAGGCTTCCTGCATGGACAGTCCGAGCTGGTTAACCAATAGAAAAGAGCCAAAATAAAATAAGCCAGTGAACTTTTGGCTTAATGAGCCAAAGCGTTTCCCCGTGAACAAGTCGCACCAAGAGTTCGTAAAGCTACACTTGAAAATGACATAACTCTTACAATACCTCCTGCAATACCGGAAGTGGATCTGGTGGCTATGTAGTATTATGCGCACTACTCACATTTTACCAAAACTTTGAGCGTTTGTGTGGTGGTAAAATACCAGTGCCAACACTGCGGGGCCCTCTTCTTCCTCCTAGTGTGATGCTCAAACGCGGTAAACACGAGCTGGCCTAAGCTCGGCCTTTCAAGATGTAGTAACGCCTATATTTTTTTCCGGAATGCTAATGCTCAGTTTCAAACTAACGGATTTCAATTATCTTAATTCTGTTTAGGTACTGTTCCGTTCGGTTGCTATGATGGTCCCAGATTACGCTCTCATTGGCGAAATTTCCCTGTATTCCATGGGATTCATTGATGCACGATCGTAAGTGTTTTGCGATTACCTTCGTTCTATAAAATCGCATCTCCGGATTCTTTTTCGAAGGCTCTGGATGAAGACAGTTGTGTTCCGTCACTCAGATGAAAATGCATAGATAATCGGCTCAGTTTGATGATACCTAACAGTTCGAAAGCCTGACACTATATAGAAATATTGGTAGTTTGGTTGCATCAATTTGTTGTAGACAACGTGACTGTTGATCTGTTCGCCGGACTTTGAGATTTGCTTTCAGATGTTTCGTCACCAGTAAGAGAGACATCATCTGCGCACGGTTGTATATGTGACTCCTCCTTATTCGCTTGGGTTTGTAAAACAGTAGTTGATATCTATTAATGTGACTGGTTGGTTCGGGAATAGTTTTAGTGCAATTTCATTGGTTCTCATCCATCCAGTCACGTCAAGGGATACCAACGGCTCTTTCCTAAACCATATAAAGACAAGCAGGTAAGGATAAAGAACTCACCAAACCGCACACTGGCGAGAAAACGTCTACAAGCACATTTCCAAGTTCAAGCAACAGATCAACAGTAAATTGATCTGAATGCCCGGTGTCTCCCATCAATTCCACTTACCGTTTTTTCTCTCACGTGACTAGCATTAGCCAGGCCTTTGGCCTAGCGAATCTGCCATTTCGGCAGCTAACTAGCTTACGTTGCCTCTAGATTTCAGATCACTTGCGATGCACGTTTATCCTGTCTTCATTTTTGACACAAATCATCTCATGTTAGAATGATCTTAGCTGACAAATTATTACCTTCGGCTTTGTCTTTCTTCCCCAGCCTTGCAAGTAAAATCGTGGCCACTTACAGACTGTGCTCAGAGCAGCTATCATCTCAACATCATTACGATTACGGCATGCGAGCTGTCAAGTCCGTCCTGACAGCAGCTGGGAATTTACGACAAAAGTATCTGGAGGAAGATGAATCTGTACTTTTGCTGAAAGCCATAAACGATGTCAATTTGCCGAAATTCCTCTCACAGGACATTCCTTTGTTTGAGGGGATCATTTCTGACCTGTTTCCCGGTGTTGACCTACCAACGGGTGATTACGATACATTTCTGACTGTGATGGCTCAACGTTTGGAACGACGTCAACTACAACCCGTACCCTGGTACCGGGATAAAATTCTACAAATCTATGAAATGATCTTGGTACGCCACGGTCTGATGATTGTCGGGGATCCTCTGAGTGGGAAGACACAAGCCTACAAGACGTTGGCCGACACGCTGACACAACTTGCGGAGACGGGGTTGATGGAAACTGAACATCCGGTGAAATACGGAATCATCAATCCAAAAGCCATCACGATGGGGCAGCTGTACGGTCAGTTTGATCAGGTTTCCCACGAGTGGTCGGACGGAATTCTCGCAGTCATGTTTCGAGAGTTTGCCATCGCACAGGATTCGAAACGGCGCTGGATCCTATTTGATGGACCTGTTGATGCCGTTTGGATTGAAAATATGAACACGGTGTTAGACGATAACAAAAAGTTATGTCTGATGTCCGGTGAGATCATTCAAATGTCCTCACTGATGAATCTGATCTTTGAACCAGCCGACTTGGAACAGGCTAGCCCAGCGACCGTTTCACGATGTGGGATGATCTACATGGAACCTACTCAGCTAGGATGGCGACCAATGGTGAGGTCGTATATTCAGTATAAAATACCCGAATGCATGGGAGCGGAACTGATAGAACTGATCGATGACCTTTTCGAGTGGTTGGTTGACCCATGCTTGGCTTTCGTTCGCTCCAACTGTCGTCAGCTGTTCCCCGTTCCCGATTTACATGCGGTCAAACAGCTGATAGTTTTGTTCGACTGCCTTCTGGGTGAGATTCGGCAATGGGCCATTGATGAACAAGGTAGGTGTCCGTACTTTTCGCCTTCAGTTCCTCTTGGTGCTTTTTCGTCAATGAGAAATTTTCTGATATTCAGGAGCTAACGTGTAGCCTGAAATTTACCCGTTTCGAACAGCCCGAGCGGACTATTCGGCCTACCTTTCGTGACGTAACTAGTGAAGCTTCAGTTAATCTTCATGAGGACTGTTCAGCTTAAACTATCCCTTCTTCCTTTCCAGAAAAATTTGGTAACAGTTAGTTACCAAACTTTTCCGAAAACAATGATTACTCAGTCGGTTTCAAGAGATTTTCAATTGATTGAGAATATCGCTTCTTCCCTTTGACTGACGTACACCTACAGATCTTGAAGGTCAACACTTTCCTTACCGCGACCCACGTAGATCACTTTGTTGTTGATTAGGCACACATCAGTATAAAAGCGTGGTAGAGTACAGCACTTTTACCCTTTGCCTACAGCAAATCGTCTTTTGAGGAAGATGCATTCACACGCTTTTGATAAAGAAGCCAATCTTTTGAGGCACTACTCATAAGGCTAGTGAAAACTCTTCGACAGCTCACGAACGGTTTCACCCTTCTTGGGACTCATCAGATAGGCACAGTCCCCGAGTTTCCGTCAACCTTATGTTTCAATTGAACCCAAATTGCAGCAACTCAGCGAAATATACACATTTCCATACCAATTTGGTTTTGACATGACACTAACCTGGAACCCAACTGAATCTATCGTTTATGTTGTTTTTAACGACAGATAAAGCTGGGTTCCAGTCTCACGCCAAAACCAATTTGGTATGAAAATGAGTGTACTTCGATAATTTTTGAGCTGTTCGTTGATTCAGATTTCGGACAAGTGGTAGTTTATTTATCACCAGAGCTCAGTTGCTGAATGGATCACCTTTTGACAACACACTTAGTAAAGTTTCCATTATACTGGACCCGTGTAGAAATCGGTTTGTTGGTGTCCTTTGTTGACGCTTACGTACGTCTAGTCCCGCTACCCGTAAAAACTAGTCGATATTGCTGTGCCCTTTGGGACTCTATAAATCCCGCCAGCCACCCACAACTAACCAAAAAAACGCCCAGTGGGGTTTAGACGTCCGTGCCACCACCGCGCTGGGAATTCCCCGTCGGCGGGCCAATCGATCAGCTCAACCAGGACCGTTACTGGATCGGTGCTCGAGGCGTCCGGCCAACCAATCAGGCATAAAAGTGTTCAGACGTAAAAAAAAATCAGATCCGCCCAGCGTGCACTCATGCAGTAGTGGTAACGATACCTCGTATGCCGGATATCCGGAGTTTAAACCTCGGTAGGACCAGGGTATGCACATCTGGTCAGCTCTGGTAAGATCGGAACTCGAGTCCAGTGATTCCCCCTTTAGTACTGACTCATCCGAATGATTTCGCTAGAACAGTAGGGCGGCTGTTCAAACGAGAGTGATGTGAATGTGAATTCTAGGGATCCCGTAACAACCTACTACTAAAGATAGGCATGATTACGGATCTGATGACCACAAATCTGACCCACGCTTCGTTACCATGCCTCCTCTTTCAGCTGCCCAGGCAGCTGAAGCGCCGCCTAATCCACAGCAAACGATGTCTGCACAAACAGTCTACCTACAAATACAAGCTCTGTTCCTGTTCTCCATCGTGTGGAGCATTGGTAGCGCATTGCCAACTGAGTCTCGTGTACGGTTTGACACATTCTTCCGTGACCTGGTGTCCGGTGTGAATTCGGAACATCCCAAACCGAAGACTATCAAACTAACAAAGGGTAACTCGGTGCCTGAACGATTGACCGTGTACGATTTCTGGTTCGACAAACGATCCGCAGGCTCGTGGCAGGAGTGGAGCCAATTTATTCTACCCTCATCGGAACCGATACCCAAGACCGAGGGGATAGATGGCGGTGAAAATGCCGGCTCCCCGGCATCTCCCATCCCACAGAACGAATCTGACTCCAGTGAGATTATTGTGACAACAATAGAAACAGCACGAATGAACTTCTTCCTCAATTTGTACACCATCAATCGGATCCCATTGCTGTTGGTGGGACCTACTGGTAAGTAATGGTATGTTTTCCTCTCTCTCTCTTTCTCTCTCTTCTCTCTCTCTCTGTTCTTGTTTTCTGTCACACTCCAATGGAGACACAGACTGTTTTCATTGTCTATCTGACAGTAAAGGGAATTCACTGCATTTCTGTTGAACAAAGTACTTGATCGCGGGGAATTATCCTTCCATGGGTCCGAAACATGAGAGAATCTTGTAGGTTTAGTTTGCAAAAGGAGCAGAATGGATCCACGAATATACTTGCAGGCTATGGAAATCTATTTCCTGCTCCCCAGACCCCCTATTTATACAATTTGCCGATCTAGTATGGGTCCTCAAAACAATATGAACATTTTCTCAAGTGAGAAAACTGATCCTCCAAAGCGAAAGCAGCCCCATCCTAAACGTCTGCATTTGGGAGACATTTAGCTATCAAACAAGACCCCATTAGACTTAAGCCAATCACAAACAAAGCGTCTGTCAGTGAATAAGACTCATCAAAATCGGTTGCTTCATTGTGTGACTTCAACCAGGCAAAAGTTCGATTTCTGTTGCATTGCCTCAGTACTGACTTTCAGTAAAATAGCACGGAGATGTTCGCTAACCACCCATCTGATTGCAATATTGAAAGCGCTGGTAAAAGGTCATCTAACGAATTCACTGGTTCATTCTACGCTGAAGAGTATTGAGAAGACAGCACTCTAGAAATTATATCGCAAGGCAGCTTGCCGAGTGGGAAGAACTAAAGAGTTTCTGTTGAATTTTCGAACTGAATTTTGATGGTGAGGGGGCTAAATCTCAGTTGAAGCCACTAGCCGTTTTATGTGGTAAGTTTTGGCCAAATTCCCCACAGAATTGACTAACCTTTTTATTCTACAAGCAACCAGGCTTCCACATGGTGATCGGTTAGATGTTTTTCGGTATTGGTACATGATATTTTTCCGGGTTAAGTATTTGATTTACATTCTAAGGGACAAAGGAGATGAAACAGTCACAGTGCCTACATTCCAGGAGTTACGTTATCCAACAAAAAGGTTCAGTCATCTTCGAATGAGTTTACCTCCTGGTACAAAAGTAGTGCAGCTAACACTGAGTGGACGTAGATGTCGGTTGTCGCTTCAAAGCAGACTGTGAGAGTTACTTTCGTACTCGTTTTCGATGACACCACTGGAATTCCAAACAATATCGAATTTCGTTCTGACATCTGAAATTACTACTGATTGACAACAAAACCAGTAGTATCTTCCAATAATAACTGTTCAGCTTGGCTTAGCTACTGTGCACTCCTAAATGAGCACGATGGCTGGGATACTGTTAGCTTGCCCGAACCTGGAGAGGAGCAGTTGAGATGCTGAGGTTGGATGCAAACCACGAACCTTCCGGTCAGAAGACTCGCGCCTTGGCCACTGAGCCATCTCGAGTGCGTGTTTGTGTGGCTCGGCTAGTCTTAATTCTCGGTCTGGGCAACCGCGAGGTATCATTTGCTCGCACAGTTCGGTGTCCACCGATGTCCCTCCCCAACCCCTTCCCACCACACAAACAAACGTCCCTGGGCCATTTGACTGTCAGTTATTTGATCGAGGGGCCTTATCAAGGGTTAGGGACATTGTCAGACATGGCTCAGTGGCGCCCTCAAAGGCGCTCATGCATCCAAGGTATTGCCTTCAATGCATAGCTCCCTTTCCAACCCCCCACTTAGCAGTCCACTGAGAGTGCTGTATCCACGCACTAACTCATCAGCTGCCGCCTCCACTGCGCAGCTTCCTATCCCATCTCGCCGAATCATCGGTGAACGAAACCGTGGCAGCTACAACCACTGTACGACAAGTACGCGGTTATTACAGCTGACAATGGTGATGTTGATGCTGAAGGAGTCAATTGAATTTTTATCATGGACCTCTAATTGACATGCATTCAAAATGAAAATCAACCTAACTGCGTGGCACACCGCTAGCCAGAGAGCTCTGCCATCGGATACCAAACAAAACGCGAGTATCTGAGCACAGATACACAGGAAGTAGGGTGTGTCGGATGAATTTGATAATGAGATTCAATCAAGTGAACGATGATTAACGAACGGTCTGGCACAAGGGTCTGGGCTATCCATAACTTGTGAGAGATGATAAGCACCATCTGATGCGTTTTCCTTTGCTTTACTGTGCTTGACAAACGCTGGTTCGATCTTCAGCAGCCCAAAATCACCTGTTAAATGACATCAAATCATCGCGTTTCTTGTTATTTCCGAGCTTGTTTCTATCAATTTTCGCATTTCACTCTGAACGAAAAAAACACCAGGCAATGGTCATCAAGAAAATAGGAAATATTGTCAAGTAGATGATGACCATGTTTATGTGTTATCCATGGAGTCAAAGTGGATGTGTTTAATAGACATCACAAAAGTGAATTCGGAGAAACATGAAGAGTTTAAGCAATGTGAATAGTTGGTTTGTATCAGGGCCACACTCGGTGGTCGAAAGCCGAAAGACCGTTTCATATAACATATCTGCTGTCAGCAACATCCCTCCCATAGTCTGTTCCATGATCTATGATGCGCTTCGACCAGTGAGGCAATCATGCGGCGAGTCAGCGTGACGCCATAGAAACATTTCAAGTAACAAAGGACCACACCATCCATTTGATTGGCCTACAAATTATATTCAAACGCAGACATAATGCGGTGGAACTGCTAAGGCGATTAACAACAAAATGCATTGGACAATGTTGAATGATATCGGTGATTCTGTCATTATGTTAATTAAGTAGACTACCAACTGAGTGAGTGCCAACCCAATTCCTGTGTGTCTGGAAATTCTGGATGTTCACACCGTGTGTTGAAAGATGCCGTGAACGCTGAAAACTTGTCTGTTATTAGCACGATGTGTTTTTTTTAATTAGGAGATGGCTGGTTTCCTTTAATACATGTTAATCTCTGTAGCCACAAATGCTTTAGAGGGTGACACACTCCCCAACCGGTAACAGCCTTACCAAGTGGACAGCAACGATTTGAAGTGTTCGGACTCAAACTAGGTTTATCCTTTGTTATTCAACAGGTACCGGGAAAACAGCGATTGCAAACGGCTATCTCGTGAGTTTGCCCAAAGATAAATACATTCCAAATACGCTCAGTTTCTCGGCACGCACCAGCGCCAATCAAACTCAAGACATAATCATGTCCCGACTAGATCGACGTCGAAAAGGGGTTTATGGTCCACCGCCTGGAAAAGAGTGTATCGTGTTTGTAGACGATCTGAACATGCCAATGAAGGAGAAGTACGGAGCTCAACCGCCTATTGAATTGCTACGCATGTGGATGGATCATGGGCATTGGTACGATCGTAAAGACAATACGAAACAAATTTTGGCAGATGTGGTGAGTCACAATTGGTCATTCACTCATCACAGACTACGCTCTGTCGGCTGATTTTGGAGCGGGATAGAAAGTGCTTTGTCCTAACGCATTGTAGTTGGCCTCAGCTTGTTTTGAAGATGATTGACCAATCTGTAGCAAGGCCTTTTCATCACCGATTGTTTTATCACCTTTTTCACTGAGGATGCTATTGCACACATTGAGAAGATAAGATTCTTATAAGAAAGTTGATAAGTTTGTCGGTAGTTTGTAGTAACTCCACTGCAGTCTACCATGCATGCTTAGAAGAAGCGGAAGGGAAAAGGTGGGTTTGCCATGAAAGAGCGTATTTCTTTCATGGATACTGAACGGAAATCTTTAGGCTAATGCTAGATAGTTTGCAGACCGGGCATCTTTTAAGTGTGCAAATAGAATAACGGCACTTTCTATGTTATCAACCCTGAGCGAAAGTTTCTTCAGACAGTCCGCGAGATCCAAACCACATCAAACCGTACCTCCAAATGGTATCATTTCACGCGAATTTATTGATCCCCGAGTCACATCGGAATGCGTATTGATGGATGGAATTTCAAATCTGGTATTTGGGGAAAATAACTCACCCTGCATAGGTTGTGCTGGTTTGGTCGCGTGCTGCGTACGCCAGTCGTCCGACTTCCTCGAAGGGCTCTTTTCGCACAACCACGTGAAGGGTGGAAGAGAGCCAGAGGTGGCCAAACAATGACTCGGCAGCGAAGTATCAAAGCCATTACCAGCAAACTCAGCTTCGTTGGTCATTTCCGTCTTCCTGGATGGGGACCTCGAGACGGGCCATATCAAGGGTTGGAGACGTTGCCAGACGCCAGTCACGCCCTCAATGGCCCTCGTGGGCAATTTAACCAAATTTTCGCTCACCAGACAGGGTTGGTTATAGCCGTTTGTAGCTAAAGTTCACATCTTCGTATTCTGAGGCCATTGAAAGCTGCTCACTCTTAGTGGTACAGCCAATCCGTATCAATAGATACCAAAATGTTAGAAATATGCTGGCCCACCACAAACTTGGCTCTTGAGAACCAAAACAAAACCAACAGTTGAACTCATAAACACCTTTGTCCTGATGTTATTCTTGTTCTTATTCCCAGCGTATGATCGCTGCAATGGGTCCTCCCGGTGGTGGTCGTAATGATATCACCTCACGACTGACACGCCACCTGAATGTTTTGGGCGTGAACGAGTTTGATGACAACACAATGTTACGCATTTTCTCAAACATTGTGGACGCTCACTTCAGCAAAGGATTCGAACCACAATTTCAGCGGCTGGGCAAAGTAAGTCGGTCTAAAAAAAAGTACATTCATTTGCAAATCAATTTGGTCTTCACGAGGGATGCAACTGAATCTCTCGTTTATGATATTCTATAGCTGAATGTGCTGCACACAGGCCGCCTCATGTTTCAGTTGGCACGATATTCGAGATATCCCAGTATATTTTCATGGAGGAAACTACTCACAAGTTTGCTAGAAACTCTTCGACAGCCCAGAAGCGGTTTCGCTCTTCTCGGGACTCAGCAGGTAGACGCAGTCCCCGAGTTTCCGTCAACCAAGAATGGCGAAACCGGTCGTGGGCTGTCGAAGAGTTTTCACCAACCATGTGAGTAGTTTCCTTTATAAATCAGTCTAACAATTTTAACATAACCAGTAGGACGCAAACTTTCTATTCCGTGAAACTGTACTGTTACGTTTAACCGTTGGATTTTCCATGACAGATTATGGTACAAGCTACGCTGCAAGTTTACAAACAAACAATGCAGAGCTTCCTCCCAACACCAGCCAAGTCACACTATGTTTTCAATCTGCGAGACTTTGCCCGGGTTATCCGTGGTGTTCAACTGGTGCCGCACACACACTTGACCGAACAGGAAAAGCTTATGCGCCTGTGGGTTCACGAAGTAAGTCGTTGGATGAATTTAGTCTGTATCCTCATATTCTTCAATAGGCTATGCATTTACTCCGTCCTAACCGCCTTGTAAACACTCGTATCCATGGTGATGAACGTGCGTATGCAGAACTGTAGGCTGAGGTGTTGCAGTCGAACAACGTTGAAAGACAACCAAAATCTACAAATTTGCGCATGGCTGAAAAGGTTTCAGCGATTTCCCTTTTTGAATTAGGCTAAAGCCGTTCCAGAGGATCTCGATATTCTTGAGTTGTCCGGCCCGGTCTAAAACTGAACAATTCACAAATGTGTAGAAGCCTCGGCTGCATACCCAATCACTCAGTGCGTCAAATACAGGGATGGTTATCTCGTGTTAAACACAGCTGGATAGAATCTTACTGCGCCGAGATCAATCGTGGAACTTCATAAGGACAATCTTTCGTCTTCCATAACCAAAAAATGAATGTCGTCGAGATCAAATTTGACCGCATGTATGAGCGACGAATCGTCAAAGTTTGCGAACCAGTTGAAATGGTAAATAATGTTTTTCACAATGAAAGGAGAATGAGAAAGCCAAGTAGAATTACTTTGGAATATTCGGGACAGATCCTCCCGCGATTTTTGCGAGAAATCAACAGCTTTTTCAATCACAAGTCTCTTTCTCGACGTACGCAAAATTTTCAATCGGTGATTCACAGACATGCGAATTTGCAGAAAGTTATAAAGAAGTATTTTGGTCGATATACACTCATTTGCAAACTAATTTGGTTTTTCGAGAGACTCACATGGAACCCAGCTAAATCTCTCGTTTGTGATGTTCTCAGGCAACTGAATCTGTTGCACCAGGCCGCCTCATGTTTTAGTCGCTACGATATTCGAGATATCGCGATACATGTACATCTTTGTAACGTACTACTCATAAGATTGCTGAAAATCCGTCGACAGCCCACGACCGATTTCGCCCTTTTTGGGGCTCATCAGGTAGGCGCAGTCCCTCGGTTTCCGTCAAACTTATGGTCTACTTGAAACCTGAGAACATCACAAACGAGAGATTCAGCTGGGTTCCAGGTCTCTCGAAAAACAGCTTGCAAATGAGTGTATACTCGCTAATTTCGTGCAATTTGATCACTATACAGAAAGCGGACCCGCAAGACACATGCGCTGTTATCTGGGTCAGCAAGTCTCTTTTGACAGTGGAAATTCACAGAAACTTCTTACAAAATGCCAGGCATACAGAACAGTGAAATCCAGGTCTCGCTGCATTATGAACTCGCGTCATTCATTGTTCAGACTCTACTCCGACTCGAATTAACTCTCCTTAACACAAGCGTGGCTCTCGGTTACCGAAAAGTCGAATAAAAATTCTGATTCGTGGTTCTCCTAATCGGTATAACACTCTCAGCATGCTTGTTCTCCGGACAAAAAATGTCGTACGTGCAGGCTGGATCGTCTTTTTGATGGACCAATTTGGAGCAGACGCGGTTAATTTTTTCCTCATGGGTATCTTCACGGGAGTCCACCATCCGCACGCCCATGTAATTATCAACTTTTAACTTGCTTGAACTTATTATCAGAGACGGAAGCTATTAGCTGATAAAACAAGTACAATACCACACCGTTTTACGAGTCGCGCGGGAGTAGTTGCTTTATCCACAAAACTGCGTGGCTCATGTCTTGTTCAAGAAATCACACCCAAACACTGGCGTGAAATGTCTTGTGACTTGGGAGCCACTGTATTTGATAGATAATATTCTGATGTCGGTCGCACCTCTGATTCAGACTTTCCTTTCGCGCAAGATTTTAGACCCCGGGTTAAAAGTCCCATTACCTAGATTCTTATAAACCAGTGATCCGCAGAACGCAGGACGTCACGCCTCTCTCAGATGGCACAATTAGCAAGAGAGGAAAGCGGTGTGCCACAGTGTAACACAAGGCACCATGAGCACCGTACTGACTATTTAACCTACCAATGTCCAAATGGTGGCGGGTTGTGATTTTATTATCAAATGTGTTGAACACTGTTGCTTTATTATCACAGTTTGAACAACAACGACTACCCCTAATACACGAAACGTTTTTTTGTTCTGGAGCGAAACGCAAAGCGATGAGATGTTCAGCGTTTCTGTCCCTGTAGTCATATACAAGCACGCGATAACTATCCGATCGTCTGCACCAATGTCAAAGTGAGTAGCATTGGGAACCGTACTTTTATCTTGCTGCTGTAACGGGAGATTCACCTGAATTCCAGGTGTGTCTCCCGTCAAAACCATTTTGGTACACAACTGAGTTTATCAATCGAAATCGATGCAATTTGGATTCAGGTAGAACATAAGCTTGGCGGAAACTCGGAAGATTCGCCTACCTGATGAGCCCCAAAAAGATCGAAACCGGTCGTCGGCTGTCGAAGAGTTTTCAGCAACCTCATGAGTTGTGTACTGTGTCCATAACTGCTGTATACTGTTCCGTGTTGTGGAAACACACTTCACTCTCCCGTACATATAAAAAGGACGTGCCTAATTGACAACAGTGTGCTTTCGCATTAAGCTACATTCTCTGTAAGCTGTCGAACATGAGTTTGGGGTTTCCTCAACGCTAGAACATCGTGGTCGTCCTCCTCAAATGGAGGGACAGTACCGAACACCGAATCGGTTTGCCAAATGCACCAAGACCAATAAGACCCGCAGATTACTCGCTCAAACTAAGTCGGTCATACACAGGAACCTATGTGCTTTGAGTTGTTCATCCCAGTATTCTGTTCTGGCTTCTTCTGTTCCCATCATTTATGCACGTATTTACTAGCTCCTTGTTGTGTGTGGGTCGCTAAAAATAAACGTCTCCCGTAGTCAATACATTGTCTGGCATTTGATTTCTTTCGACCAATCCAAATTAAGCGCCTTATGGAGTTTCGTTTGCGGCAACCGCCTTCATCCAGTGCTAGCAGTACTCAGCAGCGGCCGCGTGCTCAACTACCAGTTCGGTACTCATAATTTTGAATCAGAGTTTCGTTGCTGCTTTCAGCATTTCCGTTCAAAGTTTGTTGTAGAAATCGGTTTCGGTATTCTGGGAAAATATATCGGGAAACAAACGAATTGGAACATGATAAGCCCAGGTCTGCCCTTAGCTTCTATCCATTCGGCGCAGAACATCTAGTGCAATACTCACTTCAAGCATTGCACACCGAGTAACGGGAACTGTGAGTAATGGGTTGAAACGTATTCGATTTAGTCATGAGAATGAAAAGAAAGTCGCTCCGGTCCTTGAGTACACTTCATCATCGTGTGTGAAGTTAAACAGCCTCTTCAAAAAACGATTTGGTTATTGCCATCGTTAGAAAATTTTCGGAGGTGGAGCATTAGACAAGCCTAGGTGGATAAAACCTATGGAGGGTTGTATATCGATGGATGCTGTTTCCCTCATGATGTGTACTATCCTCTTCTACCCGTACTAGGTCTATCGCGTCTTTTATGATCGACTTATCTTCCCTGAAGACGAGACAAAGTTTTTTGAAATTGTTCGTCAAACATGCTCGGATTGCTTCCGCACCAATATGGACAAAGTATTGGGTCACTTGAGCCTCAGTGGTCGTGTGTCTGTCGAAGATGTTCGTGGCCTGTTGTTTGGTAATTACATGCAAGATGATAATATCTACGATGAGGTGACCGACGCGAAACAACTAACAGCCCGAATGGAAGGCTATCTGGAAGACTATAACTCTTTGTCCAAAACCCCAATGAATTTGGTCATGTTCAAATTTGCCATTGAGCATATCAGTCGCGTGAGTCGCGTGCTGCAACAAGAAAGTGGACATGCTTTGCTTGTTGGTAAGTGATGTGTAATCAAACCTGGCTGTCCATTTTATTGATTAAATGGTAGTGTTCCATATTCGACCAATAGGTTATTACCTTTATCCACTTGGTGGTCCCCGTCTGCCTACCGGGTTTTCGTTGTGTTGAAATTCATTATAACAGAGTTTGCATCTTCGGACATGATCTTCTATTCCCTCAAATATTGGAATTGTGTATACCGGTGTAACGGTGATACTACTGATGGGGGCATGCGAGTAGTATGTTTCCTCCTAAATCCGCTTTGCGTCTCTTGAAAAGTGAGATCTATTGCGGAATTTGTGGAGTCATTTTGTAGCACTTGTTCGGATTTGAGAAACATTAAATGAATATCCAGGAAAGTTAAGGAAGATGGATATTCAGTTTTTGTAAGCAAGATGCACATGAGAGTTTTGCTTCCCTGTCCAATAGTCTGTAACTGTTCAGTTGGCATTTTCTAATAAATAACTCCGTAGCGAAGACCTTCTTTTCACCGGTACTACGAAATAATTTCTCATTTCCTGAATTCTGATTTGGTGATGCACCAATTTTCAACCAAACAGCGATAACGGCAGTAAATGAAACTTGTGTGAGATTTCACATTTGAAAGTTCGAAATCCGGCTCAATTCCAATAGGCCGTAGGCTACCTTCACTATGTGAGTGCAGTCCGTCACATAGGTGTAGGGCCACCTAGTTCTTACACGACCCAGTACACATGATCAGAGAACTTGTGAATTTAATGCCCTCAGTGAAGAGCCAAAATCTAAGCAGTGTGATGTCGTATGGACTGTGAACGATGTGCATATTACGTGTCATGAACGTTTCGCTTCAAGCTATAACTGACTTATTGAACCAAGAACTTGACTACCCCGTGATAAGTAACACGAGAGGACTTCCTGTGAATGACCGCGATCTATGTGCGTACATTAGTAGATATTGCAGCAAAAGCAGTCAGTCACCAAATTTAATCTGATGATCCTCAGATGGTACATGGGTAACGATCGCTAAAACTGCCAATTTGAATTTGTAGATACGGTTGGGTTTGACTTGAAGACAGCACTGGTAACGACGTGGTGCTCGTGCTTAGCTGGATATGTTGGTCAAACTACGGTATATCTAGTGGTCTTGGTTAGTGAAAGACAAAACGAAAGAACGCTGCTAGCCTGGGACATTTGATGACTTCAGCTTACAACGTTGACTTCAACACACAATGCGTTTGCTATGTTCACACCCAGAGGCCACCACACAACAGGTTGAAGAGACCACCAGTTCAAAAAGTGATGAGTAAAACGTCAGAGTTCGGGCTTTATGTATATGCTTATTGTATCTGGTAGACGGTAGGTGTTAGGATGCATCACCAGAGTAAAGCCAACCGATCGGTTACTTGTTTTTTTTCTCGTTTAAGACAATATACTCAAAACTTTGATGGAATTTAGTATGCCTTCTACACACAACATGCACTTTCATTGGTTGATTTTAGGTGTTGGAGGCAGTGGCCGACAAAGTGCAACTAGGTTGGCTACCCACATCAATGACTATGATTTGTTTGTTATTGAAATTACGAGGAATTACGGGGTGAATGAATGGCGCGAGGACTTGAAACGCCTCATGATAAAAACCGGATGTGACGGCCGGTCCACCGTCTTCCTGATTAGTGATAGCCAGTTGAAGGAAGAATCGTTCATGGAAGATATTTCGATGCTGCTCAATTGCGGTGACGTTCCAAACCTGTTTCCGCCAGATGAAAAAGCTGAAGTTATTGACAAGGTCCAGGTTCACGCACGAAACGAGGTTAGTCACTAATTAGGCATCCACATAAAACATCTTTTTTACTATTCACATTTGCTTGGTATCGTAACTGGTCTGTCTCTGCGTTTCTTTACACATTGCTTACAAACAGCACTTAGATAGGCTAGGCTGTCCTGACACACCCAATACAGAGGAGCACCAGTTCCTCTCCAAACGGACATCCTAGTTTGGGAAATTAACTTAAAAACGTGCTTGTAACTGGTAGACAACAAGAATAATGGCCGCAGTAAAAATGATAAAGTCCTTCGAATGTCTCAAGAACATGACTGTGAATCTATTTTGGCTGACAGGACAAGGTGAGATTGCAATCACGAAAGGTTTGGAAAGAATGCACGATGGATGAACACAGCGTCACCACATGTGATGGAGTACAATCATTTGGGTTCGTCAGTAGTTTGAGACCTGTTGGGATTCTGTACCACTATAATGATACCAACAAAATATTTATCATTACAAACAGATAGATTGGCTTCATACTACAATAGTCAACGGGGGATAATTGAAAACGTTAGTGTGACAGTGCAGCGCAGCGTATACCAAAGTGCGGTGAATGCAGCTACCGATTATCCCAACTCCTAGGAGGTAGAAGAGGCGGAGAAAGAATATTCACAAAGTAAATGTAACAGATTGTATCTTTAAGATTTAACTGCTGTCCCATCTCCAGTGCTGGAACAAGACTCGCCGATAAGGAACACAACAGCCTAAGAACTAACGAAGGAGTGCGTGCAAGTATAACGGCCTCGAGCTATATATTTTATGGCACCGTTTGACCTTGATCCAAGGCTGTCTGATTGGCGTTTAGTAGAGTTTGAGGGTCTCAGTAGGTTTCGGGTATTATGAAATAGTCTTCAGGAATCTGACCTTCATGACAGTATCGAATCACTGTACACAAGTTTGGTGACAGGTAATAATCTGCCGAGTTTTTGCCAACTGACACTACAGACACTACAGGATCTGAGACCTTCCGTATTACCAAACACCAAGGTATCCGGTCGTTGACTAACTATCCGAGGAGGGAGCAGTTGATTCAGAATTTTGTGCTTCACTGCCTGGTCCTCGAGCACTTTTCAGGTTACGTCCACAATGTATATGCGTTTCATCTTGCGTAATAAGATGCGATAACTCATTGTAAGCAGCGCCATGTATGTCTATGAAAGTCTACATTCTGAAAGCAAATGAACCTACAGCTATCCCGGCGTTTTAGCCAGTCAACTTCACCTCACCGTATCCGAACACGATACAGGTTTCGCTTTCATACCCACATTGAGTTATTCCCATAAATGGTTGCTTTGTGTTGAATAGCTTGCTTCTTTACAAATTGTCTTTGGTCGTTGAAGTAAATCCTTCACGAACCACACATAAGACGGTGTAACCATTGCAGAACATTATGGCTTGTCTTGTGTGATATAAAGTCGGCAACCGTGCAAGATCATCACTACTTTTCACTGCATATGAATCACTCCCTTCGTTACTCCCAATAAGATTAGCTATCGATTTTAAGTCTGCAAAACTGTACCGTTATTCTCATCGTCCCAAGGGTCGGAAAGTGGACACCACACCACTGGCTATGTACAATTACTTCACCGAACGAGTCCGAAGACATCTGCATATAGTTTTGGCGATGAGCCCTATCGGCGACTCATTCAGATCACGGCTTCGTATGTTCCCTTCACTGATCAACTGTTGTACCATCGACTGGTTTCACGTAAGTTCTCTCGTATATTATTACAATGCCGTGAAGACAAGTTTATTTCTAGTACATGTTAGTGACCGAGTTACGCATGAATATATCTGGGCAGACTTGTTTTACGCGGCGAGCTGTGCTGCATTTCATTAGCAAACAAAAATCTATTGGGCTTGCGATTTTTTGTCCGATCCTAGACGTTGATTGCCCAGGTCATTGGCGCAGACCAGTTTGCCGAAGACGTAAGCGAGCTGCAACACATCTGCTACCAGCGTGAGGGCTAAAGAAATCGTTCAGCTGTAGCACACGTTCGGTGCCTAACTGCCAGCCATTGCACGAAGGCTGGGGGGATATTGCCAGGTTGCCCAAGCCTAAACAGGGGAAGTCGAGAGACAGAGGTCGGGTTAGAACCACGGACCTTCCGGTCAGTAAATTCGCGCTCTAACCACTTGGGCCATCTCGCCCCAGTGAGGATAAAAATGTGTGCAGCAACGCCCAGAATTGAGGTAACACGCGTTCCCACACTCTTGGCCTCATATTCGCTTCATTATTACATTAGCCCTCACGCCAATGGAATTTGAAGCGAATATGGGGCCAAGGGTGTGGGAACGCGTGTCACCTCAAATCTGGGCGTTGGCGCACATTTTTATCTTCACTGGTTACTCAAAACGGTTAAAAGGACAAAATCAAGTAAGAAGGGACTGTAGCGGACATTTCCATGTCCCCTCAACCGGCTTCACCTAATTTGCCTAGTATATGCATGTTTACTAGATCCCGCGACTGACCTGCTAGACAAGTCAGTTCCTGTCTAGTACGCGTCGGAACGATTCATGTTTTATACACACGTCAAACTTTCCTGTATAAGGACAGAACACAAACACAAGCACACAAATCACGTGACAAACGCCGTTCCGCCCGCAACTTTGACCGACCACAAATCAGTTCTAAATCCTTCATTTGTACATTCCCATTTTTGGTATTCTATTCGACTCGATTAAGGTGTTGTAACCTCACGTTCTTAAAACAAATTTTATTAGTGTCGCTTTCTAGCCTTCTGATTTATCAAGTGGCTTTTGTTGTTAACAATAGAGAACACTAATAATTGGAAATCCATCCATTGATTAATGCGCGAGCGATGGTATCTGCGGAAGTGTCACGTATTGGGATGGCTTGGGGCCACCGCCTAAAACGATCGACACAAGTAAGGAGGTAGGAGAATGAATAGGATGTCGGGAGAGGGCCGATCGTATCTATGTGGACTTCGTCGAATCGACCTTCTGGAGTGGCGAAGGCACCGATGAGTGAATGGGTATGGCGAATCACTTTTGAACGCTGACAAGCTAGGCAAGTTTTTGCCCAAGAGCGAACGTCTTTGTTCATATTCGGCCATACATAACGTTGTGAAATGAGCTTGACCGTCGAACGTATACCAGGGTGCGAAAGTTGTGCAGAGCGTCGAAAACCTGGCGGCGCATTGCATGTGGGACTGCAGGCCTTGCAGTGGGTGTAGAGACATCGCAGTCTATGGTACCTGGTCGATTCGACCACCTCCACATGGATACGGTCGGCCC